GGGAGAGGGATTGGAGAGCTGTTATATAAGTCTGATCTAATTTTACTTTAAAAAATACCTGAGCTGTTGACCTTTTTGACCAACCTTTGTTACATGTATCTTAAAGCTTCTTTTAGTGCTTGCTAAAAAAATAGTACAGATTGTACAGCAACAACAGCAAAAGAAAAAAACAGCTTTCTCTTTTTTACTCAAATATTACTCAAAAAAAAAAAAAATTTTTTTTTCTTTTTCTCTGTAGATGTAAGTGTTTTTGTAGTGCAAATATCTTTTGGGTATTTGTGGTGTGTTTATGTGTGAATCTGTGAATGTATGTGTGTGTGTGAATGTGAATATGTTTGTATGTGTGTATCTATATCTGTGTGTTAGTTTGTCGTGAATGTATTGACGATAAAAATCCATTGGCATAGTTGATGGCATACAACCGCTGTAAAAATACATACATATGTATGTGCATTGGCATTGTCAGATCTAAACGCTATTGTTGCTACTAGTTCAAGCTTAAACCTGTCATTGGTACTTTTTTTTTATGCGTGTGTGCCAACTATCATCTGCTTTATTCGTCTTATCCGTCTGTTCTCTAACGATAAAAGTGTTAAGACTAGTAGTAGAAGAACAAATCAAGACTGAATAGAAGGAGAAGAAATTTGATCAACGGCTATTATATTTACTCGAATTATCACATGTTATTGTAGATTAAACTTTCTGGTTTTTTTATTTAGTTGTCTCCCAGCCCGTATCCCCCTAACTGCTCTTTCTCTCCTCCATATCTCCTCATTCTTCTTTTATTACTTTTCTCGAAGTTTTTTGTTTCTGCAACTTTTTTATTCTTATCAGGCTACTCTTACGGCTACAAATTATCTGTACCATCACTATCGCAATCACAACTATTACTCAGTCAGATGTCTTGATATTTATTGCTTTTGAAACGCTAAAATTTCTATAGAAAATTCTCTCTCTCAAAAAAAAAAAGACGAAATGAACAGATATTCTGATGATGGTTTTTTGTTAAATGGTTTGCACACTGAATTAATATCTAAAAATTCTGCTATTTTTAAGCAAAACTTTAACCACGGAAGAATCTCAAGAGGTGTCAAACCAATAAAAACATTAAGTACCGAGAAACCATATATTATCAGTAACGCCACAAATAGAGGTTTTTGGCATCATTTAAGAAATTTGAAAACCCTTAACCAGGAAAATTTAAGAAGACAATTTTGTAAATGCGGTAAATGTACGCCTAAATTGTCGAATATTTATTTTATAACTGATATCAAGGGCACAGCTGAACCAACTGAAAATACTGAGTTGGCTTCAAACTGCGCCAACAAATTTATTCTTTCAGTCAATTCACATAATACCAATCTTAAACAAAGTGGATTTAACACAAATGATATTCTTCATTCGGTAACTGATACTGCTATGCAATGTGTTTCTGACCAAGATTGGAATACTGTAAATTTCTATTATTACACCGAGCCCGGAAGGTCGTCAACAGAATCTGTGTCACAGTCGACAAACCAACCGAAAGATTTGCTTCCAGCTATTGATCGTATTTGTTATTCCACCGATTTAATTGATGAGATGAAGACAACGGTCTCTGGCAAACAACAGTTTTTAAAATCGCAAGTATTAGAAGCGAACATTGTCGAACAGGAATCACCTGGTGATAAGTCTTGCCCGAATCAGTTGCCAATAGATAAGCAGGAAAAAGGATCTGAAATTGATGATGACGAGGTATTTGAAACAACTTCAGGAAAACGCTTTGGCTCTGAAAATGACATTAGTCGGGCGAAGATACAGACCACTGTCAATGCGATTACGGCATTGACAAAAAGTGAAATTAAGGTGAACGATGATGTTAAATTTATGACCGAAGGCGCTGAAAAATTGTTGAATGCTGAAATGAACATGAAGGAAGCTCTACAGATGTCAAAATATAACACAAGTCCAACCAAAGGTACTGCCCATCGAAGACAGAGTGGCATATTTAATTTTTTGGTACCACGAAGGCAGTCATTATGTGTCAGTAATCCGACACTGATATCATCGACGGTTACCTCAATTCCGCTTCAAGATTTACCTGAAAATAGCCCCTTAGAAAATCTAAGTCCATGTGTAAGCTAATTCTCAACCGTTATTTCGTTCTGTTTCAACTTCTTTACTGAAATTTTTTTTCTTTGTTACTCTTGCAGATTGTCTGACTCTTAACTAGTTGCGTTTTTTTCTAAATAGATAATACTGGGGAGGGTACTAATAAAACCGCTGCAGTCTGTTCTGAGTGTTTTTTCACCCGGTAGTCTTTGCTGGATAGAAAGAGGAGGTGGTAAAGAAACGTTTTTCAATTTTGCTTTTATAGAATTACTATTTAAAGTGCAGGTCTATTGTGTTTTAAAAAGTTAATTAATGTTATCGTTGTTTAGTTATTAAAGTTGATCATAAATTGGCTAGTCATATTATTGCCTTTTTCTTGGCTGTTTTTCGTCTTCTCAAAATTTATTTTTTCAACTTTGATGAGCATTTAGCAATAATTTTTTACCTCTACAACACTGTTATTAGGCCTTAACCAAACAAAAGGAAAGAAAAAACTCGACACGAAAAAAAAATCGGTAAACGACATTTTTATTTTGGAACTGTTACTTCCGCAGTGTTGAAGTTTCGCCATTGTTTGTCTGTTGGTATTTTCATTTTCGTTGTTTGGAGAACATAGATGAAAAAAAAAGCTCTGTTAGCTGACACTGTAAAGCAATAAAAAGTTGGAAAAAAAAGTTTAAAATCATTAAAAACAGCAAAAAATAAAGAGCGAATTTTTTTCCCCTGTTTGCTTACATTTTGAGAAAAATTCAAAACATATTATGTGCATATACATATCGGGGGGTCATAAAACAAAAATTTCTTTTCAATTTTCAACCAAATTTGTTGTTATTTGGTGACGCTTTGATGCTGATGACGTTACGATTTTGTTTGTAACCGTTTGTTTATTCTTTTTTCCTTTTTCTTAGTCTTTTTCAGCACAGTTTTTTTCTAGCAAAAAATAGCTTCACTAAATTGCCTTCTATTTTGCTGCATTAAAACCTCAGTGAACAATAATGAATTTACAAATAAGTGTGGGGGAGAGAGGGGAGGGGTAGGTGGGGGTACAACATTGTCAATTATGCATCGGTGTTGTTAAACGATGACCTATAGTACTTAAAAAAGATTTAAAAATGGGGTAAAAAGTTAACTTTTTGATCATTAAAAAAGTAAAAACAATGCAAAAAAAAACACTGATTATTTTTAATTAGTTTTTTTAAACTTCTTAGGGAAACGCTCTGTAAAACAGATGGAAAACAAAGAAATTGGTGTGTTAAGTGAATGCTTTTTGCGCCTATGTTTGGTATTGGATGGTATTTGCTCATAGACTACAAGAATACTACAGTTCACTTGACAAAACTGTTACATTAAGTTTAAGAACAGATAGAACTTGTCAAATTCTCTTTCGGCTTTTTTTTTTGGCTGTATTTGTCATTTCGCTCAAGAAAAAAATTGAAAAACGCTGAAAAAAAAAAAGCTGGGATATATCTATAGACTATTAGCCAATGGAAATTGAAATTTGTTCAATAATAACGAAAAGAATTAGAGGAATAAAAAAAAAAAA